CGCTACCCCTGTCGATGCTCAGACGCAGATCGTCGGTCAAGGCAACTAGGGCAGTCTCAACCCCAAAGCCTGTCCTGAAGCTTAGTGTTCTCCTTCCTACACCATCAATGTGATGCCAGGGCTCGCCATCCACTTTGCTCTGCATCTACTTTGTAGCTAGAAGCAAGTTGTTGTTTGTTTTTATCTGCCTTCAAGTTGTTTCTGAGTTAAGGGAACTCTAAGACAAATATATCACAGGTTTTTCTTGGCAAGATTTGTTTGAAAGGGGTTTGCCTTCCTTTGAAGCTGAGGAATTATCATTTGCATAAGGTCATTCAATGGGTTTCCATGGACAACCAGGGATTATAATCCGGATCACCCAGAGTCCTAGCCTTAGTTTTATAATCATTTTTATTGAACACACATTTTTATAGCATGAGGTTACATATAAAGAACAACCACTACATAGAGCACAACATAAAACACATATATTGTTAAAACTAACTAAAAAGGGTTGTTTACTTTAATGTAGTTGACTCCCAACTTGCTAACTATTGCTGATAGTTGGCTGATAGATATCTACCTATAACACATATTAGTATCTACACAAGTATTTTAAATAACATGATTATAATTTTCAGCTTCTATCCTTGACAATTTAAATCCAAGCTTTTAATTTTAAACATTATTATTTATATTTGACACAAAATCTCTTATAAAGTTCCTACCATTTAAGAAGAGAAAGAAGATACTCCCAAGGAAACAGATTCAAAGCAGATTGTATTATTGCATTTATCACAAATATTAGGTCTCTCCTATTTCTTCTAGGTAAGACCAACTGCAGCTTGATCTTGACTTTCTACTTTTATCTCAGAACCTAGTTTTTGAATCTGGATATACCGTACTTCCTCTTCTTGACTTGTCATGAAAATATACCAAATCTTTAAAGTCCTCATTATGGCTAGTGCCAAATAAAACTTATTAGTCTTTACCATGTAATAAGGCACATCTGCATCTCTCTCCAGCAACATGAAGCACCAGTATGACTTCAGGGATCATTTAGGCACAAATAACTAGCATAAATAGTTTTTTGTGAGTTTTTCGGGGTGTGTGGCCATGTTCTAGAAGAGTTTCTTTTTGACGTTTCGCCAGCATCTGTGGCTGGCATCTTCAGAGGAAAAAAAAAATTTTTTTCTCTGAAGATGCCAGCCACAGATGCTGGTGAAACGTCAGAAAGAAACTCATCTAGAACATGGCCACACAGCCCGAAAAACCCACAAAAAACTATGGATGCCGGCCATGAAAGCCTATGACTTCAAACTAGCATAAAAATGATTTATTAGGGGAACCAAGAATGTGCAGGCATTTGAATGATGGAAAAAACAAAGTTTTAAAGTCCCAGAGGAATAGAAATGTTAGTCTGTGGAAGTAAACAAACATACAACACAATGTTGGTAGGTAGCCAGTTTGTGGTGAAGTGTTTTGAGTTTTGGAGAAGGACTCTATCAGGATTCGAGTCCATGCTTAGAGAAACCCACAGGATGAAGTTTGGCAGATCTCATGTTCTCATTCTCAGAAAGCAATGGAAAACCTCCTTGGAATAAATCTTGCAGAGAAAACCCTAGGAGTGGTTCAACAAAAGTCAGAGAAAAAGAGAAATATGGCAGCACCTTTAAGACTAACTGGCTTATATTTTTGCATGAGCTTTCATGGATATAAACCCATATTTTCAGAGGAAGCATCCATGGGTGTCAATAGGAGGGTGCAAGAGGTATGGACCACACTGGGTGACATCTCAGAGGGGGTGAAGACTTGGTGGGGTGACCACTCCTGTCCATCCCAAGACCACCCTCTGTCTGTTGACTGGGGCCGCTGCTGGGGATGGGGTCCTTTTTAAAGGATTTGTTTTCATTGGCTTTAATTTAACTGTTGTGTGCTTTCAAGTGGTGGGGTCTTCTTCTTTGGAGCATTTTAACCAGAGGCTGGATAACCCATGGGGTCTCTTCCAACTCTATGGACGTTATCACACGGGGTCTAAAGCAGTCCCATCCCCGTACCATCCCCGTCCCATTCCGGATCCTTTGCCCCTGTGTTCAAACGACGTCGCAGCAAACCCCGCCCCATCCAGTGCCATCCCCGGCGCATTGCGGCATCATCCCCGTTCTTTGCAATTCCTCTTTCATTGAGGAATTACATCTTGCCGCAACCAGAATCAATCCAGAACCATACCGGAATGACACTGCTTTCTTGTCTGAAGCTACGGGGTCTATTCCGGTATGGTTCTGGATTGATTCCATGCCGCTTTCTTGCCACTTTGAGACCCCGCGTGTGATAACATCCTATGATTCTATATTTTTGCACTTTGAATTCAGTTTACAGCAACTATAAGATGAGGACAAAGAGGGAATGTGAGAGGAGGAGGACAGAGAAACTGGGACACTTTAAAAGCAGCTGAAAAAGTGGGATGGCAGAGGATTAATGGGGACTGTCCCTGACAAATCACGATGGTTGGAAGGGATGCTAGTGGCATATGGCACTTGCAGTATAGGCAGTGGCTATAGGTTCCATGTCCATGGGAGAGGAATCCACTTCAGGTTTAAATCCAAACTTTAAAAAAGCTATCCAAGGTTCATCAGCTTAGACAGCATTTTTAAAGTTAAAACTAAAACCAAAAGTGTGTTCACCATCCCACACATATGGAAGCCACCAGCCACCCCTGAGGTCTTTGATGAACAAAATAAAAGGCCTTCGGATCTTGAAAATAGAAGTGTGGTTTTAAAGTGAAGGAGAAGTAGTTACTTAGAGCATATCTTTCATCTCTCTCTTTCCATCTGTCTAAGAGCCACCTGCTACTTCTTCTCTCATTGAAGTCACTGGGTTCCCATACAGTGGGCTTTGAAAGGAAAACAAAGGGATGGAGAGATTAAAGGAAAAGCAGAGGCAAAGCAGAGCATTTGGGAGCTCAGGAACTATTATAGAAAGAAAGGCTGGAATCTTACATACTTTTACCTGGGAGTAAGACATCTCACTGAATGGGACTTATTTTTTGAGTGAACATCTGTAGGTTTTTTAAAGTGATGTGGGCATGAAGTAGGTCCATGCTATAACACCTTGGTCACTAAGGTCAGGAATGCTTTATCTGTGAATTCCTTCACTGCCGGTGGAGTGGACTAGATCTTGGGCTGCATCTACACTGAAGAATTAATGCAGTTTGACACTGCTTTAATTGACACGGCACAATGCTAGGGAGTTCTGGGATTTGTAGCTTGGGGAGATATTTAGCCTTCTCTGTCAGAGAGCTCTGGGGCCCCACCAAACTACATTTAAGGTGGTGTCAAACTGCATTAATTTTGCAGTCTCTGAGCATCCTCAGAATACTTTCCATGTACACTATGGCTGGAAGGGCAATTTTTCTCCTCTTTGAATTTTTATTTTATTTCTTTTTTCTCAGAAATATAGTGTTACAGTGCAAAACTACTATTTCACTGATGTACTGTGGCACTTGTATAGCTCAATGGAAAGAAAGAAAGAAAGAAAGAAAGAAGATGGAGAAGAGACGGGGACACATGGTTCTGATTCAGTCAGCCCTCCATTTCCACAGATATTTTATCCATGGATTCAGGCATCCACATCCAAAAATGTTTTATGAGGACAAAGAGGGAATGCGAGATTTACCTTTTGGAATTTATATATATATATATATATATAAATTCCAAAAGGTAAATCTTGATTTTGCCATTTTATATATGAAAGACATTTTACTATGCTGTTGTATTTAATGGGACTTAGCATCCACAGATTTTGGTACCCACTGAGGGTCCTAGAAGCAAACTCCAGTAGATACCAAGGGTCCACTGTATATTCCAAAGTAACCATAGCTTCCTTGAGGATTGGAATATAATGTTGCAACTGGTGCTGGAAATGTCCAGAAAATATTCCAGGACAACAGAAACCTAATTTGGATTATTATTATTATTTTACAAAATGAACAAAAAACCTCAAGAAATATGATAACTTTCAAAACCCTTTTGTCCTGTCTAGAGGAGCCCATGTCTTTGTCTGTCTTTTGTTACCTGGTCTGAAAAACATGGGAAGAGTGTTTCCAGTTGTAAAGAGAAGTATAAATACTGCTGCAAAGTAGTCACTCCTATGTGAGCCCAGGATGCATAGGTTACCATCCTAATTGTTATTGCTTCTGAAATAGCAGTACTTTAGTACTTCAGAATGTTCAAAAGATTTGGAAATTGACACATGCATGCAGGTAACTAGATTAATGTACCTATCCTGCTTGCAGAGGTTCTAGATAAGCACTTTTAATACAGTGGTGCTTGGCAGCGCTCAGAAAAGCGCTAAGATTCAGCTGTTCCTTGAATCCCTTGGAAAAGCTGTCTCTCTCATGTGGGATGGAGGGAATCGGCTGAGGATTTACGTGAATTTCCAATTAATAACGTATCTTTTTTACTTGGCTCCAAGCAAAACTGAATTTTAAATTCCAGGGAAGAATACCCAACCCTTTGGACTATATAAAAGGTTATACCAGAGCTTGGGAAAGTTGCCTTTCTGAATTGCAGATCCCAGAAGCAGTGGGCATGCTGGTAAGGGGATTCTGGGAGCTGTAGTCCAATATATAACTTCCCCAACTTCTCATGTTATATTTAAAAAATATATATTTAGCCCCAAACAATCCCGGCTGGGGAACGGCTTGGGGACTCCCAGCGGCATCGGTGGCGTTCTCCTATGTGATAATGTGCGTTCTCAACCTGTTCCATTCCATTCCCGTTCCTGTAAGTGCCGTGCAATGAGTTTATGTGCCCGAGATGGCAAAAGTTACTAATGAGGA